CCACATCAAGGGTGGCTGCTTCTCCTGTCACCACCATTATTTGGCGAGAAGTGCCCAAAGGGAAGCAGCATTTGGAGAAGATGAATTTGAAAATTAAGCTCACACTCACTGGGAGTCACTTGTGGAAAATTAAAGTATCAAGCAAATAAAGTGTCAACAGAGTTCCTCCAGCACCTCTCACCCTGGACTCCTCAGCTGGCTCAAGTCCTGTGTGGGGACACTTCTGTTCGGGGAGCCCCTGGGTATACTGGAGACGGTTAGGGACTTTTATAGTTACATCCACAGAAAACTGAATTAATATTTTACAATTCTAAAGGGAGTGAGAAATCAGGGCAAGAAATAGTCTAAACAGCTAAACAAACTGATTTTAAAACCAGAGCTTGGGGCACGATAATCAGCAACTGACCTTAAACCAGCGTCTCAGTAAGTCCTTTTATGTTTTTATCGCTGCCATTCTGACAGCCTCTGGCAGCACAGTAATAAAGCCTATGACCCCAGCTTTGTTCTTTCCTTCCCACTACTTGGTTTCACCAGCAGACCACATACCACCTTCCTCCTCAAGGACCCTCAACAGCTCTCTGATGTCCACTACCTGGCACACACACCTGCACAACCCCACAAGACCCGCATTCCCGCCCCAGAAAACCCATCTCCGCCTTTCCTTCTGGCCACACCTAGCTGCTCACCACTGTTCCCTGGAAAGCTCTCAGGCTTCAATGCCGGGATTTATCTGGCTGCCTTTGAAGAGTTAATAACATTCAACAGATTTTCCCTACAGGGCTCTGCCAGGCTCCATGACAGGAAATCAATACAGGCTGTGGGAAACCAAGATCACCTGCTAGCAGGTGGCAACACTGATTTGCTTCCAGGTCTGGCTGACCTGAAGCCAATGCCTGCCACCAGTGAAGGTGGACACCTACATGCTTGTGTGAAGATGCAGGGCACACGGGCAACCTCGGACCGGGGGGACGGCCCACCCCTCTCTTCCCAGTCTCTGACTATGGAGTGACCACTGTGTACAGTCTGCTAATCTGGAACTGAACAGCCGTCCCCCAGGTGTAAAAGTTAAGAAGTGGCCTACTCACATTGAATAGGCAAGCATCACCTGCCAAGGAAAAGAGTCTCTGCCTTGGCTTTTTGCTAATCTTTTTTTAAAAAACATGTATTTTTTTAGTTTTTTTTAAGTGGACGCAATATCTTTATTTTACATTTATGTGGTGCGCTGAGGCTCAAACTCAGAGCCTCAAGAATGCTAGGAGAGCGCTCTACCACTGAGCCCCAGCCCCCTGCTCATCTTATTTCAAGAGCACATTCACGCCTCAGCAGCCACTGGGATGTCTGTGCTGCCTACCCTTGTGCCCTGGGACAGGAAGTGGCCCTCCAGGGAGCAGTGTATCCTGGGGATAGAGCAGAAGAGGGCAGGGATAGGTATCTTTTAATTGATAACAGCATAATTAAGAGTGGCCCCAAGCCACTCTTAGAAGGCCTGAAATACCTTATTTGTTATTACATCTGCTATAATTTTATCAAACAGTTCCTTTGTTTACAACGTATTAATGGAAAAGCTAAAAATACATAGATTCCTTTGTCAGTCTCTCTTAGAGCTTTAGATTGCATTTCATAAAAAATACAACTTTATGCCTAGTTTTAGACTATAGGTGTAGTGTATTTGTAAACCGTAAAGTAAATTAGTAATAATTATTCACAACAGGCTAAAAAAAACAGCGGGATAAAAGATGTTTGGTCATTGACCTCAGAGCTACTGACATCTGAGGCTCAATCTCCCTAGGATGTCATTTTCCTTGAAGAATGATGAAGGCAGAACACAGCGACCACTGCTACAAAAGGAAAGGAGCACCCGAAGGCCGCCGCTCACTGGCTCAGCATGAACACCAAGCCCACTCCAATGCCCCCCTCAATTCCTAAGGTGCACCTTGATCCTTGGTCTCCACCCAACTCCCAGAAAGCCCCTCCCACAAGCAGCAGCAGCAACAGAGTGTCCTCAGCCCAGAAGTCCCTTCTGCCCAGCAGTTGGTGGCCTCTCAAAACAGAAGTCAGGGGGCTGGGTGTGGCTGGGTGGTGAAGCACTGGCCTGGTATGCCCAAGGCCCTAGGTCTGACCCCCAACACCGCAAAACATAAATAAACTAAATAAAAACAGAAGTTAGATGGCACTATTCCTTAGCACAAAACTCCCAGGACCCTGGAAGAGAAAGCTCAGGGCAGCTGAGAGCCTACGGCTCTGGCCTCCAGCCTCACGGGCTCCCCAACACCTCGGGCCTGCTCCCTCTTCCTCTGCCTGCATCTGTGCTAGACTCCTGGACTCCCCCGGGGTTCTTTCTCAGAGCGGCTTCCGTGGCCACCCACCCCTGTCTGAGACATCCCCTCTACTCCACCACCACTGTCAGCAGCCCCTAGCGGGATAACACAGGTGAATGCATGAATGCATGAATACCTGTTGGGCCAAGCTCTATGATGGCAAGGATGTTGTCACTGTCCTCTGGTTTGCTACTCTGTCCCTAGGGCCTGGAGGAGCCTGGCACAGGGTTACATGAATTTCATGGATCCTCGATGTTTCTCTCCTCTCTGATGCATGTGTAAAACTAGCAGTTCTGCAGCGGCCCAAGGTGGCCTGGTATCGTGCCTCGCTGGGGCAGGCAGACAGGATGGCAGCAGCCTCCTGGGAGTTACGAAGACCACCGCTGTTCTACAACAAATTATTGTTTTAGACAAAAATTTCCACAGACATCCACCAGCTCTGTTATGTGAGTAGACTGCAGAGTGAAAATAAGGCTCAATATTGACTTTTAAGGTCTAGTTTACAAGGTCATTAACTTACTACCACCATTAGCAAACAATGAATAAAGTCAAACAAGCATGCTGTGGCGGAGTATCAGCTACACTGGGAAAAGTCTGAGCAAGAAGTCCCAGCTTCATGCACCATGCAAGAATTCATTTGCTCAGTGAACAAATAGAGCCAGACGGCCAGAGTAAGGCTGCGCCAGGCACTGTGACTTGCACATTTAAGGTTCTATTCAAAATTTCATTTTACATCTATCACATAACTATACTAATGGCCACATGCAACAAATACTTAGCCGAGCTAGTGACTAGTCAACTGATCCTTTGGAAGCCAAGGTGACCTCGCCTAACGATGACAGGAAGTAAAATGCTGTGGGATGTCTGGTACTGTGTTCTGAGGGTAAGAACTCTGAAAAACCAAGTAGCGGTATGTAATCACCTTCAAAGTACAAAAAATCTACTACATGCACAACCATCTGCGCTCTCCAAGTTTTTCCAGTGTCAACAAAATCACAGTTATTCTTCCAGGGCCATAGTATTTCTTGTTACAGTTTAGCCCATTTGTGTCCCATGGTCCCAGATGTGGGACACCTACAAAAACTTAAGTTTGGCAAGACTCCAAATCTGAAGTACACTGAAAATGGTGCATCGTTATTGTAACACCGTCTAAGACAAATAGTCCCAAAGTCCTTCAGGAGACCTACAGAGCACTAAGAATACACTGGGGCACTGACCCTCCTCCATGCCACATTTTGATAGGCTATGCTCCTATCACTGAGGCCATTAAAATCAGAGCTTTGAGAGACTTGGGGAGCGTGGGATCACACAATGAAACAACTACAACAAAGCATTCACAATTCCTATAATGTGAATGCTACATTAGTCATTTTTAAGTAATTTTCAGTACTGAAGGATTTTGATAGAAAAAAAAATCTATACAAACATACAACAGATCTGTCATTTCTTCTGGTCACTCTTCTTTCTGTTCTTGGAGGACACGGGCTCCATTTGAACCACCTCCAGTCCCAGCAGGTTTTACAAGACTGAAAGACACGCTGCTGTAGCAGGCAGATGCCAGCTCCGGCTGCAGCCTTTAATCTTCCAAAGCATTTTATTTCATTCATATGAAGTGGTCTTCAAGAGCAAAGAAGTAACTTCAAACAGCCACATTATTGGCTCTTCTATACAGTGAAGTTAACAGTATTTGGATTTAGGTCACATGTCAGTTCTTTATTGACACCAGAAAAATACAACCTGTTTTATAAACAAGGTAAACGGCACAGGCCAGGATGTCAGGATTTCAAGTACCTATGCAAGGACAATGCACTTGATTTTAACCCACAAGTGCATACTGGCTCAGACAGGCACTTCCTATCTGAAGAAAAGAAGCTACCCCATCTAGAACGAAACCACAGAAAGTGTAAGTGAAATCACGTCCTTACACACAGAGACGGCAAGTTAAAAAAATCTTCGGATAAGTCAAAGGTTGGGCCCGGGTTGTGCTCAGTGGTAGAGCCTGACATGTGGGAGGCACTGGGTTTATTCTAAGCACCACATATAAATAAACAAAAGTCCATTGATAACTAAAATATATTTTTTTTAAAAGGCAAAGGACATAAAGCCATATTTAAGGGACAGAATATGGGGGAAAGGAACGGAGCTGAGGGCATAGCATGCACAGGCTGCGAATTCAACTGACACAGGACTGGGAAAATGGCAACCTCAATACTCACTTGTAAAGGGCCAGTAAAAGGCCACCAGGCTAGAGGGCTGCCAGGGCACCTCAATGTCCAAGGACACCTACCTCAGTTTGCACTCCTACCCCCAAAGAATGGTCAAGGGGGCCTACACAAACATACAAAGGACATATCATTTCTTGTTGCCTGCTCTTACTGCCCCTGAGGGTTCCTGCCAGTAAAGATATAGACAAAGGTTTTATCTACAAGCAAATCTGGTCTGCCTCTTTAAAAAGACGCCCAAGGGCAGCAAGTCAAGGCAGGAAGCACCTGCTCCTAAGCAAGTAACCCAGGCCTGCCGGGCCTCAGCCCTGAAAGGCGCAGACCAGAAGAACACAAGATGCGCCGGGGGTCCCGCGGTGGCCGCCGCTTCTTTGCCTGCCGCCTCTCTGCTCCGGGCGAGGGTCCTAGGAGCCCTCCCCGGTGTGGCCCCAGCTGGCGTGCGCCCCGCCAGCCCACTTACTGTTGCTGGACTTGAGGTCCCGGTGCAGGATGGGCACGAAGGCTTCCTCGTGCAGGTAGAGCATGCCGCGCGCGATCTGCACAGCCCAGTTGACCAACACGTGCGGGGGGATGCGCCGCGCTCGACGCGGACCCGGCGCGCGCGGATCGGGCGCGGCGGCCAGCGCGCGGTTGAGCGCCCCGCCGCGCGCGAACTCGAGCACCAGGCAGAGGTGCGGCTGCCGCAGGCACACGCCGCGCAGCTCGATGATGTTGGGGTGCCGTAGCATGGCGAAAAGCCGCGCCTCGCGCCGCACGCTCTCCGCAGCCGCCGCCGCGTCTTGCTCCGGATCGCGGCGCGCCGCCTTCACCGCCACTTCCTGGCCTTGCCAGGTGGCGCGGTACACCTGCCCGAAGCCGCCGGCGCCGATGAGCTCTTTGAGTTCCAGCCGCTCGAAGTCGACGTGCACGGGCGAGCCGGGTCTCGGTGGCTGCGCGGGGGGCGGCGCGGGGCGGGCGGCCGGGCGGCACGGGGCCACGTAGTTGGCGGGGAAGATCCCCAGGCGCCGCTGCACCTGGCCGGCCCACCAGCCCTCGTCGCCCGACACGGCGGCGTCCTGCGACAGCACCTCCACCAGCTGGCCGCGCCGCAGGTTCAGCTCGTCCTCGCCGCGCGCCTCGTAATCGTAGAGCGCGGCCCACAGCCCGGCGCCCGCGGGGCACGCATCGCCCGAGGAGGCTGACGACGAGGACGCGGCGCTAGCGGGGGCGACCTGGGCCGGGGATCCCGGCGTAAGGGTCGCCCCCTGGGCGCCCGTAAGGGCCATGCGCGGCCGCAAGAGCGCGGCGACTGCGCGGTGCGGCGGGCTTAGTTCAGTCTCCCCGGCGGCCTGGGGCGCGCATCATCCAGTGGCGTCGCGGTCTGCGCCTAGGGTGGGCGTATGGAGAGCGGAGCACGGACCTAGGAACGCGGAGGTCACTCCCACTACCCGAAGGCCCTTCCCAGCCTCCGTTTAGGCTGGGCAGCCTCTGCTGCTGCAGCGGCCCCCATGGACGCGGGCACGGTCGTCCCACGGTGGCCCTGGGCCTGCGGACGCCCAGCCGCGCGCTCCTCAGCCTAGCACCCGCCCAGCCTCCTCCGTCACCCCGGGCCGCCCCGCCTCCCAGGGCCACAGGCCCTCTCCAAGTCTATTCCCAGGGCGGATACCGTTCCCGCCCCAGGATCACTCCGCCCCTCCAGACCGCCCTCCAGGGCTCGTCTCTCCACCTGGGCCCGCCCCTCCTCTCCAGTCCATCCCTCTCTCCAGAACCCGCCCTGGCGCTGGGTCTGCCCCTCCTCTCCAAGTTTCCCTGGATCCACTCCCCCAAGCCATGAGCCCCACCCTAGACCTGTCCCGGAGACCAGCCCGCGTTTCCTCTCTAGTTCCATACGCTCCCCTCCCCCAGCCCGCCTCCTTCCCTGGCCAGCTCCGAGCGCTCCAAGTGCATTAGTGCAAGGGACCCTCTCCCGTACTCGCCAGCCCTTACGCGCCCCTGCCAAGGGCCCTCGGGTGCGGAGGTGCGCGGCGCCCACGTGGCCTGAGAGGCGGAGCCCGCCCAGAGCCACTTAAGAGTTCTCGAGAAAGTTTAAGCTAAGGGTGGGTTCCTCGGGTGGAGACCGCTCTCTAAACAGGTGGGGCGAGCGAAGAAGGGATCCTCCAGTGTGCCAGAGCTAGGAAGGCTTCCCAGAACAGGTTGCCCACTACAGGTGCGCGGTTCGAAACGTAGACCTGTGCGTGCTCAGACTCACCAGACTGCTAGCGTTGAATTCTGCAGATTACAGGTGGCAGTGCAGCGCGCCCTGCAGCGGGCGTAGCCAGCCCCGGAAGTTGGTGTTTCCGGATGGCCAGCCAGTGTTGTCCACCTGCTCAGAGGCGAATGGACCGCAGGTGTTTTGCAGCAGCAAGTTCAGCTGTTATAGGCTTTGGAAACACTATGTTAGAGGCTGCGCGATTAATGTGGCAGGAGATAAGGCTAAAAAAGTAGAGGAGTCCAATGATTAAAAACTCCAAAAATTTAGGGTGTCTTGTAGCAAGCCAGAATTTCTTAAGTGTGAGTCCTGCCCTACCCATAACAGGAGAGGCTATTTGGAATGTTAAGAGAATAGGAGATAACAATTTCATAATGAGAATTTTTTTGCCTTTTCTGTTCTTTCAGCCTCTCTTTAAGCCACTTATTGGCTTATGGCTTGGCGACTCAGTTTCCTCATCTATAAAACGGGAATAATTAATAGCGCACACCTCATGGGGTAGCTGACAACCACAGTCTTTTCTAAGACAGAAGAAGGGAGGTGGCTGTGGATCCAAGAGGGCAGATGACAGGTGCCTGTGATGGAGCTCTCCATACTTCCTAGTGGCGTTCACATGGATCTGTGCATGTGAAAATCAGCACAGAAACACACACACACCCCAATGAATGCACATGGATACAGTGAGAACTGAATAAAATCACTGGACTTAGTGCTGATTTCCTGACTGTGATGTTGTTTTATAATTATGCAAGATACAAACATTAGAGAGAATGGGGTGGAAGGTTTACAGAATACCTCTGCAATATGTCACACAAATGCACGGAAGTCGACCCTTATCTTCAAGTAAAAAGTTAAAGAACTTCTCTGACTTTTCCAGCTATTCATCTGGGTGAGATCACAACTCAGCACCGAAGTCCAGCCTGGATGACATATTGCAACAAGAATGCAGAAGCATCACAAAGTGCATCTGCATCTACCAAGTGGGATGAGAGAGACAATCAAGAAAATAGGAACAGTGCCCATCGATTTTCCTATGAGCTTTAGCTTAGGAAAACAATTAATTTTTCATAAAATGCATTAAATGTTACCATGTAATGACTTGATTATTACTTTTAAAGTCTAACCACAAGTATTTGAAACATTTCTCAGTTTTAATTTTTAGCATAGAAATCATTGATAGTTAGAAACCATATACACAGAAACTCTTTGAGATCTTCCATAATTTTTTAAAGTATGTAAAGAAGTTCTGAGACTAAAAAAAGTATAATTTTCCTAGACTGAAGGGAGGACTCCAGGAAGATGAATGAACTCTGCCAATGAAGTTCTTATTCAAATGGGGTACTGGACCCCTCCCTCGATGCCCTGTAATGCTGATGGCCAGTACAGACAAGGCTGGAATGTTCCAACAAGCTGTCACTGAGGGAAGCGAGTCTATGAAAAGGAATCAAACCCTCAACTGGGGTGAGGACCTGACTGACTTTCCCTCTGCCCCACCTGCTTGGACTTCAGTTTCCTGCCTGTAAGCACCCTCCATGCCTAAGATCAGGAAAGAGCCTCCCTTTTGTGGCCTATCTACCCCAGAGGGACCACCACAACCGTCCACAGGTGGAAAAGTTGCTTCTGAACTTGTGCCAAGAAGATCTCAGAGTTTTAAACTTTCAGCCTCCATAGCCTGAAGGGGGATGTAGTGGGCAGAAATGAGGTGAGAGGAGGAGGTGGTACACGTTGGCCTAGCACTGCCCTTGCCACAGGCTGCTGCACATTCTGCATGACATCCTGCTTGAGGACATCACGCCGTGGGAGAAGGAAACACGTAAGTTTCAGAGCCACAGGGATATAGTCAAAGCATCAAGTGAACCCCTGTTACAAGGTGAGGCAGAACATCATGGCGGAGGAGTATGGTGGAAGAAAGCCAATCAGGACGTGGCACCAGGAAGCGGAGAGAGTTTTCACCAAGAACAAAATATGTACCCAAAGGCACACCCCAGTGACCTACCTCCTCCAGCCAAACGCTCCCTGCCTACAATCACCACCCAGTTAATTACTCAAAAGTGGACTAATTAATTGATTAGGTTAGGGTTCTCACGACCTAATAGTTTCACCTCTAAGCTTTCTTGCACTGTCTCACACATAAGCTCTGGGGGGACACCTCACACCTAAACCATAACACTGGGGTTGACCATATCAGGTTCTGCACCTAACTTTATAAGACAAAGAACATTCTGACAGATAGCCTGGGACCCTGTAACACCAGCTGCCTCTGCCGACCTTGGACTGCATTTGGGAGATGAGGCGGGAGTGCCAGTGTGTGCCCTTTTCCCTGTGTGCTGTAACTTAGGATGACCGGTGGTATGCTATTGAGCAATCAAAGTGACTGACAGCAGGTGGCTGCCAGCAGACCAGGGTTCTTGTCTTGACTTTGTCCTGACTGCTGCATGAAATCTGGTCTCCGTTCTCCAGTTATCTCCACCATCACATGGTAGAGAACAGGCATGATGTCTCTGACTTGTTCCGAGGATTCGCGAGTGAGTGTGTCAAAGCATGACACTTGTGTAGTGCCAAGAAGTGATAACCATTATTTTTATATAAGTTCTTATTTGTGCAGAATCCATCAGAATAAAAACTTCCAGAGCACACCCATACTTTCTCCCCTTTTCTACGTGCTATAGGCATATCTTCTGAGTCCAAAGATCAGTTTCATTCTTGCAACAAAAATGTGAAGCATTCCACGGGATTGTCCAAATTAGAAGTTGGAATGGTAACTTTCCAGATTCCCGGGTACAAATATCTAAAAGCGTAATTTCCTTTGAGCAAATTCAGTTATTATGGGAGAACATCCTGTTGTCACCAATATTCTTGTTACGATTCACTGTGAATGATGTTCAGGTAATCAGTGCACTCCTTGGTTTATAACAGAGACAGGAGAAAGCAGGTGGAAAGAATCAGTGCGCTGTGGTACTCACATTCTTTCCCTGCCAGGCACTCTCTGGGCACTTGAGATGTAAAGGTGAATAAAACAAAGTACCCTGTCTTCATGGAGCTGGCAGAAGATGGAAAATAGACAAGAAACTGCATTACATACTTCAATAGAATTTGGCAGCTGCTGTATAAAAATGGAAAGGAGTACAAGAAAAGATGGGTCAGGAACAGGCCAGGGAGGTGGAGTGAATAGGACAAGTGGTCATACCCAAGAGAGCCAAGAGCCTGGACAGAGCAGCCTCATGGAGAAGGACAGTCAAGCAGAGGCTTGTAGGAGATCGGGGATCTGAGCAAGTGACCCAATGGAGAACCTGAAGTGGACAGATGCTCCGGAGTGTTCTGACCCTCGGATTCTGCAGTGACTTCAGTGCTGTGATCAGATAACTACAAACACAAAGAAGTATGAAGTGCCTTGTGAGTGTCTTGTGAGCCTGGAAACGAGCTCTTTGTCCACGAATCTGGGCCTCTGCCTTTGCTCTCATGCACTTAGATGTGCTGTTCAATGAATGACCATAACGGTGATGATTCAGCAATAAGTTAACAATTATTGGCATCTAGTGCCAGGTGTTGGAATCTTGAACTCTGCTGGATGTCAGGGTGTGTTTACTCTGAGTTTCAGCTGGCTTCCAGCCTTAGGCAGAGTAATCATGAGTTGTAGGATTTCTGTAACTTTAATCACTGGACAAGACTAGAGCCCTGCCTAATCGTCCCCAAAGTTACAGAGCACAGCCAGGGCTAGGAAAATAGACAATGAACTACTTCATTGAAGAAGGCAACAGTGTAACGTCCTTAGTGGGTCCAGAGAACCAAGGTTATTAAGACCTTGAAGATGTCCCTTCTGAAGTCAACTGCAGGGCTCGTGACCCTGGGCTCAGATAGGAAGCCTGCCATGCCACTCCCAGTTGCCATTTTTGTACATTTGTATCATCACAATTAGTTTTATTTTATTTGCAATTTACTGGACTGGTTTCAAACATAATGACTAATTCTTCCCACCCTATTGGACATATTAAACAGAGGACACAGGGGACAAAGATGATAAGATAAAAAAAGCAAGTCAATCTCCTATGATCAAGGGGTAAACATGAGTGCTATGTTCGTTTTTGCTTTGTTCTTAACCAGTGTCTGCCACACGGCCTGCTTTGCCAGTGACCTTCCTGCTCTGCACAGGGCTGCTTTGCAGGCCCTTCTGTCCCCTTCATTTGGCCACAATGTGGTTTTCCTGTAAGTCAGATTTATTTGGAAGCGAGGGACGTTCCCTCCTTAAACTAGACTAGGACACAAGAGTCACACCTACACCATGGACCTTTGTAGAGACCCCCATCTTTTGTTTCAACTCCCATTTTAAAAACCTGTATATGAAAATAGAGGAGTATTAATGTA